AATTGGCTTGGCTCTGTCATGGAACGCGCCCAGAGGACCATTAATATCCTCCGCGGCCCAAGAGGAACGGCCGCGCGACGCCCGTATCGATGACGGCGTGGGGAAGAGACTGGCTAATCGCAAATATAGCCGCAGATCGAGGTGCGAAGCCTCTCTCGCCGCTTGTCGGATTATATCAGCCTGGCCATCGATTAAATAGTCAGCACACGACTATCGGCCACGTCTTCTGCGAGTTTGTTTCGCAGAGTCCCCCATAGAAATTTCCTAAGATTTTACCATATGCAGCATAGATGTTGGTTAGAATGCCCAAATTGGTTATTTCACTACGACACCAATTAAGTATCTCTTTCTTGTCCCAAACATGGGTTCTCTGTCTATTTATTTCCATAATTATTTGGGGAAAACGGGCTAAATTCTAATTCAACTTAGCTTCAATTAGATGCCAAGAAATTCTCTGTGCGAGATCCCGGTCGCGATTGTAGGCTCGACGTGAAAGATACTTAATCGCGCTGAGAAAGCAAATATCTTAGGAAGGTAAAGCTGTTTCCGTGAATATTTTATTTATTTGAGAAAAACGTGTATGACAGGAAAATATTCTGGATTCAATTTTGCAATTTTTGTGAAACGTATATTAGCTTTAGCGATGGTAAACGCGCTCTGTTTTTAATACATTCATTAACGGGCTGCTTTTGATGCAGCCAGCGTGAACTGTCAAAGCAAAGATATTTATGATACCGAGTTTTCGACACGCGCGGTAAATTCATTCCTCCACGTTAAGCAGTTCAGCATAAGCCTAATGACGGGGAAGGCGCCGGGCGATTTATAAATCCGTTTTAAATCCGGAATTAGGAGGGTGATGACTCGCGCTATTTGTTCACCCATCGGCGCGGGATTAGTAAATTGTCTGGATTAAAAGAGCTCACAAACAGTAACAAACGTAGCGCTCCCAGAGATTGGATTTGGCGTAAATCGGCGAAACTGGAACATAATTCTCGCGCTCTCCCGCGCGTCGTCTTGAGCGTGTTCGTTTATTCTTTCGCTTTATCTCTCTTTCCCTCTCTCCCTCCATCTCTCTCTCTCACTCATTTTCTCTCACTTTTTCCATCGCCTGATTAACGGGGGTTACGACGGGCTGTGAAAGAATAAGGACGATCGCCCGAATTATAGCGAAGTATGAAATTTATGGAGTAACTGCTGCGCTTTGACGCGCGCGCGCGCACGAGTAACAAGTTATAAATATCGGATTGGGCGCGCACGCTGTTTCACACACATTTATTCGCGAAATTTTCCGATATGGATGAATTATGCACAGCATCGGAAGCATGCGAATAATAGCGACTGATTAATTTAGATCGTTTACGAGCGTTTATGACTCTTTTACGTCGCTTATTGCTCTTATCACCGCGATGCATGGCTTATTTATAAGATAAACATCCTGTAACGTTCATTACAATCAATAATTCAGAACACCGTGTACAATTATGTTACGGATTGCGTCACTTGTCGATGAAAATTGATGAAAAAATCGGTATAACCTGGTCATGTGTGTGTTTGTGTACATCTGTGTGTATGTGAGAGACCCTCGTTAACACTGAAACGCAATCTTCCCAATCGTGTGACGAAATAACACGGACATTGTGCGTCTGACGCGCGAGTTACGGAGGAAGTGAAGACAATGCCGTTTGCGGCAGCTGGTTTCTCCCTCCCTCCCTCCCTCCCTCCCTTCCTTACTCGCTCGCTCGAAGCTAAAACGATTCTATCAGCTTTAATCGACTAATTGAAGTTTTCAAAGATGCTCGTGTGCCGAATTGGATTAAAAAGTTAACAGTTATCGAAGATCAAAGAAATCCATTTCTTACTACTAATAAAAATATCGCAGTTGCGGATTCCACACATCGCAGTTGCCGTATACATAGGGTGTTCTTTTGATTCGCCGTTTTTCACCTTGATTACGACGTTATCTAATAAATTCGAAATAAACGAACAAAATGCGAACAAGTTGACATCATTAAGTCCGATGACATTTTATCTTCAGAACTAAATTTCAAGTGTTGAATATTTTAAATGAGTCTCAGGAGTTATCAAATAACAATGGCTGAAAGAAGACCTCGACTCCGTATAAATATAATGTTCTCTTTCTATCAATTTACATAACAAGTTTTCAGTATCCAAAGAGTATTTAATATTGATGCGTAACTTTCGTGATGTTTAAAGTGTTTTAACTGGTTAGAAAATCAGAAGAATCGATTAAGAGATGCAGGAGTGCTGAGGAAAATCACGCGGAGAAGAGCCGACACAAAATGTTCCCGATGTCGGCATTTCAATTTCCCAGACATTCTTTTCTCTTTCTTTCCGGGACACCTCGTGGACACGGCGATGAGGACTCGAGGTGGGTGATGCTTCCCCTACCTCCGTCTGTATTTGTCGATTGCCAATATCTCGGCAAGATGGCAAGAGACGACGGGATCGAACAGGCTCGGGATTCCTGGTTCTGATAAGAGTTAGTGCTCACTTGTTGACCCGTTTCAACGATCGTAACTTATCGAGACACGAGACGGCGATTGAGAGCAACGATGTGAGGCTGGGGATACCGAGAGTTTCGGATTTATTGAGAGGTCTTAATACGCGAGACGTCGCGCGCGCACGCGCGCGCGTGTGTGTATGTGTGTGTAAGTGTGCGTGGTGCTTCGCGGGGATTTTTACGATGTCGTGCGCGATCGATCGTGCGAACGTCGATGCGGTTTCGCGATTTCCTGGCGAAGAGGGAATCCCCCTCGCTCTGTGGTATCCAGCGACCATCGTCGATCGACCGGGCGTTAGCGAGTTTTTGTCTCATCGCGACAAACCGTCACACAGCGAGTGTCGCAGGAATCCCCGTGGTCGATCGAGCGTCAAAGGTACACGATTCATCGGGGATTATCGGAGTAAATCGAGATTCTGCGATTGACTAACCGCACGATCGGCGCGGTGACCCGTTAGTTAGTCGCTGATCGGCGTTAAGTGATCGCCTCTGCTACGTGTGCGGCCTCCGTCAGGCCCGTGTGAATTTTCTATTTTATTGTCCATGTGCAAATCATTGTACAGACGTGGCATTTGTAGTCGATTGGATTGGCGCGGCCGTAGTTGAGCAGTATTACAGACGCGACCCGCGACCAATGGCGATCCGTTACCACGTAACTACAGATGGAACTGATAATGGATTGGAATTGTTTGCAAACTACATGGCCGCTCTAGCACTAGCACGAATAGCGCTCGCTGCTACAATTGGCCACGGGCTCATGCGCGCGCCTAGTCACTCCGTTTGTATAATATGTTTCGGTAATTGGTCGGCTTTTACGTGCTTGGCTGAATGGAATTGTAGGTTTCTCTACGTGCCGATGGCGGATCGTACCTTCTCCCCTGCCCACCCCCTAGTTCATCGATAACGTCGTGCTTGGAGAGACATATATGGCGCGTCAGCCGTCTTTGTCTAAGTTGGATTGCTTTCCCTCCCCTCTCCCGCGCCGTGTCGCTCGCAGATCTCTAATTGCCCACACTTGGATTACCTCCGTAGTCGAGAGTCGCGGGCATAAACTTGCAGCACGGAATAGTCTCCGCTCGCCACCGGAACTTTGCTTCCACACATCAAACGCTGCGTCTCCGTTAATCTTCTTAACGTTAACGCGGCCGACGGTAGCCAAGCGGATCAAAGTCTGTCCGGACCGAACGATTTTCCAGCGATATCTTATGAAAAGCCTGTTACTGGGATTTCGCCAGTCGGCTCCAATCTCCGGCGTGGTCCCGAGGCGTATCGCAGAACGTGATACGTTCCGGTTATATTATCTTTGCTTATTATTAGATTGAGGTTTACTATTTTTCTATTCTCGTGGGAAATTTGGATATTAAAGGTGTATTGTCCACATATTCCAAAAATTGATTAAAATAAAAAAATTTTTTAATTCGAAAAAATTAGAGATTAATCTTTGTTGTATCTTAAAGTAACTGCAAACAATTTGACATTAATTTAGCGTCTGAATCAATTTCACTTTATGTTCACTTTATGTTATTTTACTTTATTTCACTGTTGAAGTCTAGCCAACGCGATAATATCAGGTGATATTTTGATGGCGCATCAGTGATGTCTCTAACGGCAATAATGCTTGGAAATATTTCACCATGTTATTATATATGATGCTATCTTCAATCAAGGAAATGATCATTAAAATATAATAACAAAAATTTAAATTTTTGCATACGTGCACTTTGAATATTCAAAACGATGTATGCAAAGTTTCATTGTGGTTCAGAAATAAAAGTTCAAAGACCAGAAGTAATTTAAAATGAAATATATAGACTGTACTTTTTGAAGAGACTTTACGGGGCAACTTTACATCCTTAAAAGGAAAATAGAGTTCCCGTTAGATGTCTAAAAAGTCTCGAATTGATGTCGCTCATTTCGTTCCGATATTATAAATAGTTTTGAGTCGGCTCTTCTCCGCGTGATTTTCTTCAGCATTGTCCTTCTTGATTTTCTAACCGACGACTTTAAACGCCACGAATGTTGCGCATCAAAATTAAACTCTATCTTATTTTATTCGTAAAAATGATGAATCCTTCGAGACTGGATAATTTCATTTTCTATTTCGTTTGCGAAACACGACGAACCTTTTGCGTGCAATGAGCGGAAAACTCTCAACACGCGCTTCAGCTGGCTGCATCGACTCTGCGCGCTATCGACAGAACGACCTCGGATCTCGGTCGCATTTTCGACAAGAACGATCTCTTTTCTTTGGTCGTCGCTCAGGTGACGTAACATCGATATATCCCCTCCTGAAATACATCTCGGCAAGATATATCGTTGTTGCGGGACAGCGCTGGCGAGTGTCGTAATAGAAAGTATGTCCTTGGCGAGCAGGCGAGATAGAAATAACGACCGGCGGGAGATCGTGGGGGTGGCGGCTGCGGGGTGGTGAGAGGAGGGGATGAGGTAGAAACTAATAAATACCGTGCGTTGTATTCACCTGTGCACCGACGAGACCAGCGCGTAATCTAGGGATGTCCGTGTGACTCCAGTCTGATCTGGCCCAAGGGTCGACCCTGCCGAGGTCGCTGCTCAGGTTGACCTCGCCAAGTTGATTGTGTACGAACTTTCTGACGTTCCAGGGCAAATCGTTGTGCCTGAAAATTAAAGCGCGCACTGAGAGAAAAAATTCTGCTAATTTAACAAAACACTAGAGCCCGCAGCAAACGGTTGCTGATGTGGGACAGCGAATGACCCCGTAGTGGGAACAAATGATTTGTTACTTTCAATCTGCTGCTCTAAGCGACATTTCTGTAATAGAGACGTAACTAACCTAAGCTAAGTAAAACGAATGCGATTTGTACCTCAGGCAATAAATGTTTGTTAAAATGATAAATGATGAGAAATGTGTGACTTGCAACGGTAACTCTGTTCAATCTGTTTTCTTAGTAATCATCAAGCAGCAAATCTTATTTTGCTCTGATAACCGAGGGTTTTATTCTCAAGGCGTTTTATGCGATATACGATTGCGTCATATACGATTGGCTGTCGAGAGTGCGAGTTGAAAAACGAATATTATTATACGCGCGTTGGATGGACGCGTTGAACAACGTTGATAGACGCACTTATTTTAGAAGGGTTTTTAGAATTCGGGTTTGTAAAGCGATATTAGCTTTTGAAAATCCGCGCTGTTCTCGACCGCGGTGTTCTCTTCTTTGCGGACGAAGTATCAGTTATGATATAACATTACATTCGTAATACGGTACTTTGAATATATCTGCGCGTAATAACGTGTGCTCTCGGTACCTGCAAATTATAATGTAACTTGAGATTAATGAGCAAGATTGAATCGTAGCGAATTTATCGGGCTTTGCGTATCTCGCGCATAGTATTGATATCATTACGACATAATATATGATAATACTTCGGGACAATCATTCTCTCTACTAACAAGACTTTATACCGTGCGGAATCATCGAGATATTTCACAAATATTCGTATTCACTTGAGTACTCACTGAAAGAAAAAGTTTCGTTAATTTAACAAAATGATTTGCTGATATGAGACATGGGAAATGACTCCATAGTGGGAACAAATTTGTCACTTTCAATTTGTTGCTCTAAGCAACACTTATATGTAATGAAGACGTAATTAGTGTAGCCTAAATAGACGAGAACAAATGTGATTTGTATCTTAGGCTCATGTTTGTTAAAATAACCAATGATGAGAAATTATCTGCAAAGATAACTATACGATTTGTTTCCCTAACGATCCCAAACAGCAAACGTGCTTTTGTTATGATAACCGAAAGATTTTTCTCAGTGCTGCAGCGGCGCACACGAACGAGGTCGAAATCTCCTTTTCTGCTCGAAATCTACTTTTTCCTTCGCACGTCGAGATTTATCCTCGTGTGCCGTTAAGCGCTCGAAGACGATGTATATCGACATATCGAATTAGAAACACTCACCCGTCGATCAGAGGCACTTCAGTGAGGATCCTCCTGATCACGTCCAGCCTCTGCTGGTGCGTGGCAGGCGCGGATTGAAGGAGCAACGGCAGACAGAGGCATCCAAGGAGCAGGGCGGCTACTAGGAGCAAAACAGGTGCCAACACCCGACACCTCCTGTGAGGACTCTCGTCTCTACGATCCTTGCTGCTGCCGCTGCTGGGCGAGTCCTCGCACGGCGGCGGTAGTCGCACGGTACCGTTGCACGGCGCCACGTCTGGCAGTTCTGTTAGGCACGTGGTCTGGAAAAAGAGAGGTCCAATCTCGAAATTGCGCGTCGTACTATTTACTGTTATGCACATCGATCGATGTAATGAAGGAGCGAACTCTCGAGTCGAAATTTTGGCTCGTACATTAAGCCTGCAAATTCCGTCGAGATTGAAGGATCAATAAGGAATCTCGAGTGTATAATTAAAGTAACTATTATTTTCTAATGCTACTGATAGTTGCCGCTGTTTTGTTAAGGCTTAACACAATGACTTATGTGACAATTATTTGATATTCGATTTCAATAGTTTAGCTGAATTTAATTTTTTTTTCTTAATTTTAAAGTAAGTCCTTCTGTAACACTCAATTTGAACAAAACTGCAGTAAGTTCTTTGTAAATTTTTTGGAGTGAAATTTTGCTTAAAAAATAGAGTGACCACTGAGCCATTTAAATTCGAATGGTTTTTTGCTCGTATAGAGTGAATCCTTCATTTTGAATCACCGAATTCATTTTGAATATTTTCATTCGCAATTGAAGAGTGAGTCTGATGTATCTCATTAAGGGACATATTCGATTAAAACATGGAATACTAACTCCTATGAAGTTAGACTACTTCATAGAAGTACTAATATGAAGTTAGAATTAATATGAAGTCAGAATTCACTTTAAACTTGATATGGAATCAACGTTTTGACTCGAAAAGTAGCTATAATGGGAAGAAAAAATTAAAAAATTTATTTCTATGTTTTTATTTCATAGAAAGAAACTTTATTTCGCAAGAATAAACCTTATATCCCACAAGTAAATTTTAAAATAGTTTTGCTTAATGTAACTGCAAATACGCATTAGAGAAATCCTTAGTGCAACTTACGTCTCGATGGTGATTATTCGATAATGAATTGATCGACAAGAGCGTGTGTACACAATGAATTGGAAAAGTCGGCAACAAGCGTTACGTTTCATTTAACCGACGTTCGAATAACACGGAAAACGTTATAATGTAAATCTGACCATCTCTCAGAGTGTATTACGTGCTGGTGTGCTTATAGCGAAAATGAACGGCCGCGACCTGTCCCTGGAAAAAATACAACTTACACGGCTGGAAGTGCAGCTTCGAAGGAAGCCTGGGGAAGGAGGGCTCCTTCGCGGCGTCACTGCGACGCTCTGCAGGCAACGCGGCAAACTTTTGTTCGTCCTCGTTTCGACCACCATAAAACACGTTAACGCCCGGGTACGGATTTTCCGCGCGTATATATATATGTGTGTACGGCGTAGACACACATATAGACACACACATCTACTCGCGACCGAGAGGCGCGTGATGCTTGGCGAGCCTCTTGGGGAATTTTCTTAGTTTCTACGGTTGTCATAAACAACTCGTAGCAAGTCCTCACACCTTACACTCTCGTAACTTTCATACCAGACGCGATTGATACTACTCGCGATACAAAAGTCTTGCGTTCGGTGCCGCATTCGATGCGTATAATCGAAAATTGAAAATACAGAGAAAATATGAAGAAAACGCGTAGAAATAAGGATATCATTAAAAATAGAGATGTCTAATGAAAAATAGCTGTCAATGTATAAGAAAATTGGCTTACCTCCGACGAGTTTTTAACAACGATAAGTAATAGCTGATTTTGAAAGTAACGAGCAGCATGTGACGACCGAAACCAGTTGTTACTTATCGCTGTTATGAAATCGGTCAAAAAGAAGCTATTTTTCTTATACCCTGACTAACTTGCATTAGCTGTCTCTACAGAACCCGTACTTTTCGTACGCTTATTAGCCCATACGTTTTAATTAATTACGGAGTAAATATTGCGCGAATTACTAAGTGGCATTACTAATGACTCCATAAGTATTTACGGAGGCATTATTTTTCAGATTATTTTGACCCGTTCGACTTGTGCACCGCGACTGCGTCGCGAGTTGTTGACCCATGTATGCAAGGATATACTAATTGAACATTATGTATCATAAGAACTACTGGTATATATAAATATAGTGAGATCTGTGTAACATAGACAGAACAACTTCTAATGTCATATCTATTTACTTTGAAATCACATAAATTTTCCTTTCAATTACGAAATATATGAATGTAGCAACTATAGCAGTTCTCCCCGTGAGGAGATCATAATCGACAGCACATAGAAATATTTCGAGAATTGAAAGCCGCTTGGAACTGCTTGAGATAGCTCCATTGTCATAAATAGAAACAGGCGAGGAGAAAATTGAAGAGCTAAGGAAAATTTCAAACGTCACTGACACGGCGATCTTAGCGTTTTTCGATACTGCCGCGCCTGTGTGCCGTGAAAACTTTTCTCGTCCTGATGCACGTCCCTTTTCTTGCGTTCGTTCGGCGGCGTCGAGTTTCCCGTATTTATGGCGCACAATAATGCGGATATGCGAGGGATACAAAGTTTCGCGACGCTCGTACGCGGATGGAAGAAACTCGAGAACGACGAGCGGCCGGATGAAGGCCGGATTCCCCGACGAGCAACGAGCTAAACCGCGAAAGTTATCGTCGGCATTACCGACGCGAAAGAAACGGCGATATGCGTTATCGTTGAAGCGCGAAACGGCGGGCGCGATTCCCGTTTCAAGCCGAGTTCTCCCCGCTTTCTTGCTCGCGGCTCGGTGAGAATCGATTGTCGATATTGCGGGTAATTAATAGCTGCCTAGAGGTAATGAAAATGAAAGTTATGGGCATGCCGTTTCGAGGCATGTATGTGACAAAGTGAGTAGTTTTCGCGATAGCGCTCGTAGTGTAAGGATTGAGCAATTCGCGTCCTGTTCATGAATTTGCTATCAGCAATCAACTCGTCGACTGATTGATATTACTGTTAGGATAAATATACCATCCTCAAAAGTTCTAATAGAACATCAATGTCTCGTTCCTTTGGAACTTAGAACTTTAGAACTTTTAATCTTTTTTAAAACTACATTACGTTAATGTATTTAATGAAGTGAAAGTAAAAAAAAAATGGTATCTTTAGAAGGTAAAATTGGTAGCGAAAGTCTATGTACAGTCGTATGATTAAAAATCGCAACTCATTTTCTTGATGATTTTCGTAACGCATCTCGTATCCAATTAGAATTTCTTAGTAATTCTCAGGAGATATGTTTTCTTATTGAACATGAGATACGTGTTGCAAAATCGTCGAAGAAAAGTTGTTGCTACACTTAGAACCGATTTTCTCAACTTCTTGGTAAGCTAACTAGCGGTTGAATTATATATCTGTCTCTGTTCAATTTGAAGGAAAAACAGAGATAGATATGTGATTTAAATGTTTGTTTACCAAAAGGTTGGAAAGATTTCTTGGTCAGCCGATTATATTTCCATGTGCAAGAAAACGAGACAGTCGATGGGATTGAGAAAATCGACATTAATTAAACCGCGGAAATAAATGGCAGGTGACACTTGATTGCATAGTTGCGTTGATTAATTGAGCTTTATAATGCGCTATTAAAATCCCGAACGACAGTCTCGGGATTGACGTTCTTGTATCGAGACTTGCTCGTGTCCTTTACTGCAAGATCGGAAGATATAACGGTGTCACGCGCGCTCACCAACTTGTCACGATTACGCCGTGTCATCCTATAATTCATAGCACTCCGAAACTATTATAGACGTCCCACAGCATCCGACGTGTTCTTACGCGATTAAGCGCGCCGGGCCGACTTCTCGAGTAGACGCGAAGTGCAAGAAGATTCGTAGTTGGCTTTTTGGATATGCATCGGGAGAGCCGGAGGTGAGCGCCGTCGTTGATTCCGCCTAGTGTCTGGTTAATGGAACTAAGAAGCTCGTAAACGTATTAACTACTGCAAAGGACATCGGCTTTGATCGGTGACAAGTGCCTGCTCCCCGTCCCGGGTTTGCGGGATGGCGCGGTTGAGGCGCGTCAAGTCGCATTGAAAGCTCGGAAACGAAGCCGCTTCTTGTACATGAAGTCACCAAGTTAGCGTTAAGGATGATTCACGCCGGTGTGATCCGAATAATTCGTTTCAATTCGTCTCTCTGAAAGTTCCAGCTTAACCGCCGTTACGTTAAGACGTGTCTGACCAAGTTCAGACCTGTGATTTTTGGAACGTTGCCTTGGAATCTGCCAAGGCCTTATTCACTCATATCTCTTATAACTCATATCCCTTGTAACTCATTCCTAGTACAAATGGTGTCAGGGCGAAAATCGTGAGATCGCCCAAACCAACAAGTGAATCTGAACCTGAACCTGATTCGTCTCTCTCGCAGACTTCGCGGCTAATTTCTTTCATAAGAATTTTTTATTTCGGGGGCGCGTAGAACGGGAGAAGAGGACGCCACGTGTCCGTAGTGGCATTTTAAAGGATTAATTTTTCTCATATCGCGCAATCTCACGCTGATGTAAAAATAAGAAAGTAAAAAGAAAGAAGTAACTTGGGAAAGAGACGCGACGACCGCGGAGAAATTTAACGCAGCGCGCAGATATGCGTAAAATTTCCAAAAGAGGGAAAAAAGAGAGAGATCCACGCGCAGAGGTGGATGTGAGAGTGTGTGAGTGTGCGCGCGCGCGCGTGTTGGGTCAAAGACTTGTCCTTTCGGCGCGATAAGAGACTTAGAGCCTCCTCTGGGAAATGCATTCTCGTTAAATGAGTTCTGTAACGAGGCTCCTCGCCAAACTCTCTCCTAACAGGGTCCTCCTTCGAGCTTCTTGAAGTGCGCCAAATTTTATGTTTTGCTATAGCGACCGGGGAGAGAACGGGGAAGGGGACGGAAGAGGAGCGAGCGGAGAGATAAAAGCCGCGCGAGTTTGGAGAACGCTTATCTCGCCGTTCATAATTTCGGGAATCGGACAAGTGGGACGTGGTCGCGCGCGAGGACGAACGATAAGTTTTAAGCCGGAAAGTCCTTGTGTGGAGTTTACCCGTCGTTAATAGCGCACCGCTACGGAATCCGGGATCGAGAGGGGTTTGTGGCGTAAGTGGGAAATATCGGGGGACAGGGAGAACGGGGGTGAAGCTCCTATAACGAATATAATTCATAGTCGCGCG